CACACACACACACACACACACACACACACACACACACACACACACACACTGAGATGGTTCGACGCTGTTGTCCTGTTTCCTCCTGCACTGACCAAATTTTTAGCAGACCTCAGCCAAGCATCTTCCAGAAGCCCCCGTCACGACGTAAAAACATAAACAGCTCTGTTTTCCTAATATTTGTCAGCACACACTCGTGTTTTCGTGGTTTGCCTGTAAGTCAACGTGCAAACATCACTTGTTTCCTTCCTAGTTTCTGCCTCCTCAGCCCAACATGCAGCAGAGTGAGCGCAGGCTGAGAACTGGGACGATGTCAGGTTCAGGTGTTTGGGACTGAAGTGTTTTTCAATGATCGCTGAGGCCTTTTGATGGTTTTAAAACGACCCAGTTGGTGATTGGAAGGTTCAAAATTCTCCAAAATGAACAAAACCTGCTAACTTTCCCCCTAAAACTCGTAATTTGTTCTCACCTCTGAGCATGAGAAGCTTGCTTGCCTGTGAACAGACAATGGTTTCACACGGTCAGGCTTTTCAGTGTGTTAGCGCCGTTAGCTTTGGATGCTTCCGTCAGGGGCCCCAACTGTATTCTCTACATGTGTGTATGTGCACGCGTCTTTTTTTTGTGCATACATGTGTGCTTTCTGTTCACGTCCAACCGGGTTACTGACTCCCTGCTATGACTTTTATCAACACATGACATGAGTCCTAAAGAAAACACCTGAAAAACTCCAGCTGCTCCTCTCAGATCAAGTTTGGTCAAAACCGTCCTTCATCTTCATTGTTTTCCCACCGTTACCTGAACTGTTTTTCTCAGAGGAGCTGCCCCTCGTTTGGACTTTGAGTGGGGGTGGGTAGAGGCCACAAAGGGGTTAAGTTAGTTTGGTTTAGGATGCCCAGCACTGCAGCCCCCCGCCCATGGCCCTACAGTGTGGGGGATTATGGCGTCACCTGGGGCCTCTAGTGGGGGTTTTATAAAGCGCCTCTCTGGCCCCCTTCCCTCCGTCAGAGAGGCTAAAAGGTCCACTGGACGGTCCGTCTATCCCTGTCTCTGCTTCAGAATCCCCCCCTTTATAATTGATGCCCATCTCCTCTTGACAAGTCCCGTCACCTGAGACCTCCACCCACACCCCCTCATCATCTCACACCTATGTCTTATCGACAGGTGGAGAGAGGTGGTAACCGACTGAGGTGACTTTACCAACCTGGTTGACAGTTTGGTAAAGATTTGTCGAGTGGATTTATCCATCTGATATCCTGGTCAGTTGAACAAAAAAGGAGATCCTTTTTTTAAACTTTGGCATTTTAAAAAGACTGAAAAGGTAAACACCTTTTCCTGAATCACCTCCATTTATTTTCGAAGAACCCTCTTTGTTTAGTGCCACGCCTCAACGCAAACAGTCGTCATGTGGGAGTTCCGGTCGATGAATTTCTGGCGGGCGGTCTTCGCCGAGTTCTTTGGGACCATGTTTTTTGTGTTTTTCGGCATGGGTGCCGCCCTGCGCTGGACCACCGGGCCCCATCACGTCCTCCACGTGGCCCTGTGCTTCGGCCTGGCAGCCGCCACCCTCGTCCAGTCCATCGGCCACATCAGCGGCGGCCACATCAACCCTGCCGTCACCTTCGCCTACCTTGTCGGTTCACAGATGTCCTTTTTCCGCGCCTTCTTCTACATCATCGCCCAGTGCCTGGGTGCTGTCGCCGGGGCTGCGGTGCTCTACGGAGTCACGCCCGGCAACATGAGAGGCAACATGGCAATGAACACGGTACGAGAGATTCGATTGGTCGACGTCTTTGGTACTAGAAGAGAAACAACCTGACATGTCTGTTTTTGTGTGTGTGTTTTTCCAGTTGCAGCCTGGGATCAGCCTGGGGATGGCCACCACTGTGGAGGTCTTCCTAACCATGCAGCTCGTTGTCTGTATTTTTGCGGTGACCGATGAGAGAAGAAATGGTCATCTGGGATCGGCTGCCCTCTCTATCGGCTTCTCCGTCACTATCGGACACCTCATGGGGGTGAGACTCCTACTCACATACTCACATAAATGTGCTTTACAACGCTCCATATTAACGAGGGTCTTGTGTTGTAGATGTACTACACTGGTGCCGGCATGAACCCTGCCAGGTCCTTTGCTCCTGCTGTGCTCTTCAGAAACTTCATCAATCACTGGGTAAGACCTGGAATCACCCGAACAAGACAATCACACCGCCACGACCGTTACTTTGTTCTAAAAAGAAAAGGATACACGACATGCGAGTTAACGAGTTTTGTTCCTTCTCGTTGGCAGGTGTACTGGGTCGGGCCGATGATCGGGGGTGCCATGGGTGCCCTCTTGTACGATTTCATGCTGTTCCCACGTATGAGGGGTTTGTCTGAGCGCCTGGCCACGCTGAAGGGCAGTCGACCCCCCGAGAGCGAGACTCAGCAGGACACTCGCGGAGAGCCCATCGAGCTCAAAACACAAGCCCTATAAACCTGTTCCGGAC